CAAACTATCCCTTTCAGAAACTGAAACCACACAAGGGAAACTGTACAGGGAGCGTGTGAACGGCAGCTCCAGTGGCGCAATCGGTTAGCGCGCGGTACTTATACAGCAGTACTAGTGAAAGCAATGCCGAGGTTGTGAGTTCGAGCCTCACCTGGAGCACTAGTTTTGCTCCTCCCATTCAGACTGGTCAACACTTTGGCTCAACTTTATTAAATGACAAATTGGGGGTCTGCAAATTCTGCATGTCTCTCAGCTCCACCTTAGACCAGTTAAGGAGCTTGGGAATAGAAGACTAGTTGGGATTTTGTAACACCTTTGGTGAGAAAGCTTTTGTGTTTACTTTCTTAGATGCATGGGACAATGGTGCCTCTACCCAAAGCATGGTCAAACTTGGGCCCTCTGGGTGTTTTGGACTGCAACTCCCACCATTCCTAACAGCCTCAGGTCCCTTCCTTTTCCCCCTCAGCCGCTTAACCCTTGTGAAACTACAACTCCCAGAACTCCATAAGATGAAGCCAGGGCAGTTCAATGGGGTGTCAACCACCAATGCTGTTATAGAATCCTGGGAGATGTAGTTTGGTGGGGCGCCAGTCCTCTTGGGCTAAAACCTCTGTGAAACTACAACTCCCAGAACTCCATAAGATGGAGCCAGGGCAGTTCAATTGGGTGTCAACCATCAATGCTATTATAGAATGCTGGGATCTGTAGCTTGGTGAGGCGCCAGTCCCCTTGGGCTAAAACCCTTGTGAAACTACAACTCCCAGAACTCCATAAGATGGAGCCAGGGCACTTCAATGGGGTGTCAACCATCAATGCTGTTATAGAATGCTGGGATCTGTAGTTTGGTGAGGAGCCAGTCCTCTTGGGCTAAAACCCTTGTGAAACTACAATTCCCAGAACTTTATAAGATGGAGCCTGGGCAGTTCAATGGGGGTATCCTGGGAGATGTAGTTTGGTGAGGTGCCAGTCCTCTTGGGAAACTACAACTCCCAGAACTCCATAAGATGGAGCCAGGGCAGTTCAATGGGGTGTCAACCAACAATTCTGTTATAGAATCCTGGGGTCTGTAGTTTGGTGAGGTGCCAGTCCTCTTGGGAAACTACAARACCCAGAACTCCATAAGATGGAGCCAGGGCAGTTCAAAGGGGTGTCAACCATCAATGCTACTATATAATCCTGGGATCTGTAGTTTGGTGAGGCGCCAGTCCTCTTGGGCTGAAACTCTTGTGAAACTACAACTCCCAGGACTCCATAATTACAATTGCCAGGACTCCCAGTTCAATGGGGTGTCAAACTGCATTCATTCTGCAGTGTGGATGCRCCCTCGGTTAATCTCAAGGATATTACAAGATCCCTTTCAATACTTTACATTATGATTTTGGAGGAAATATGTTTGATCGACTCAGAAAATGATTTGACAAAAATATGAGCATAAATCAAAGTACCTTTCCTGCTTTCTTGAGTCTATGGGAGCTCATTGGAGAGGRTGTCTTTGTCCTGGCGTTGGTGGTATAGTGGTGAGCATAGCTGCCTTCCAAGCAGTTGACCCGGGTTCGATTCCCGGCCAACGCAGAATTCTTTTTTCCCCCCAAATATTACTTTTATTTTTTTRTCTCTCTCTCTTCATTTAAAATAAACATGCACATTCCAAATTATATTTTAACTCCTTATTCTACAAATTGTATTTAATTTCCATAAAACTGTCCTCTTCACCTCCTTGTGATGTGTCGACGTCATTGGAAAATTTAAAAAAATATTTGGCCCGTACGGGGATCGAACCCGCGACCTTGGCGTTATTAGCACCACGCTCTAACCAACTGAGCTAACCGGCCAACTGCTGTGATTTTAGATTTGGCTGCTCCTCCATCTGAAATACACCCATTACTAGTTTCAGTGTTTGTTCAAATGAAATCATAGTTGGAAGAGACCTCATGGGCCATCCAGTCCAACCCCTTTCTGCCAAGCAGCAGCAAAATTGCACTCAAAGCACCCCCGACAGATGGCCATCCAGCCTCTGTTTAAATGCTTTCAAAGAAGGAGCCTCTACCACATTCCGGGGCAGAGAGTTCCACTGCTGAACAGCACTCACAGTCAGGATTCTATGATTCCATGATTCTAAAACAATACTCAACAATTGCCAGGGCCAGGAATGGTATAGTGCAAGCAGTGTATCATAGGGCTGAGTATTGGATGAAGTGCAGAGAACAAAATATTATTAGGGAACCTAGGGACTGGGCATTTAAAACTAGGCATTCTCAAATGCAAACTGAAACATCCATGTTTTAAAATCTCTGTGAAAGGAGGTTTGCCTAATCTCTCTTGAGAGTTCCAAATTTGGGGGCCACCACTGAAAAGGCCTTCTCCCTCATCCCCACCAACTGTGCTTGTGACAGTAGTGGAAGCAAGAGGAGAGCCTCCCTGGAAAATCTTAGAGCCCACACCAGTTCATAGGGGGAGATGCCATCATGAAGATAGGCAGGGCCAGAGCTGCTTAAGGGTTTATAGCAGGGGTCCTCAAACTAAGGCCCGGGGGCCAAATACGGCCCTCCAAGGTCATTTACCCAGCCCTCACTCAGGGTCAACCTAAGTTTGAAACGACTTGAAAACACACAACAACAACAATCCTATCTCATCAGTCAAAAGCAGGCCCATACTTCCCATTGAAATACCAATAAGTTTATATTTGTTAAAATTGTTCTTCATTTTAATTACTGTATTGTTTTTAAGTGTTTTTTGCACTACAAATAAGTTATGTGCAGTATGCAGAGGAATTCATTCATTTTTTTCCAAATTATAATCTGACCCTCCAACAGTTTGAAGGACTGTGACCTGGCCCTCTGTTTAAAAAGTTTGAGGACCCCTGCTTTATAGGTCATAACCTGCACTTTGAATTGGGACCGGAAACTTATCAGCAGCCACTGGAGTTGCTTTAGTAGGGTGTTGTGTACGCTCTATAATTAGCTCCAGTTAGAAGTCTAGCTGCTGACCTTTGTACCAATTGCAATTTCTGGACCGTCTTCAAATGCAGCCCCACGTAGAGTGCATTACAGTAGTCCAATCTGGATGTAACTAAGGCATGGTCCATGGTGGCCAAGTCCAACTTCTGGCGCATAAGCTTTAACTGTGCAAAGGTCCTCCCAGCTACTGTCAATACCTGAGTTTCAAGAGTCAGCGATGAATCCAAGAGGACCCCCAGACTATGGACCTGTGTCCTCTGGAGGAGTGTAACGCCATCAAGCACAGGTTACCACCCTATATCCCAATCAGTCTCATGAATGACCAGGAGGACCTCTATCTTGTCTGGATTAAGCTTCACCTTGTTATCCCTCATCCACTTCATCATAGCTCCGAGGCACTGGTTCAGGATCTGGCTGGCTTCCTTGGAATTAGGTGGAAAGGAGTAGTAGAGTTGAGTGTCATTTTCATACAGATGCACTGAACTCTGAAACTCTGGATGACCTTGCCCAGCGGTTTCATGTAGATGTTACGAAGCATGGGTGATAGAATGGAACCTTGTGGGACCCCACAGGTCAATGGCCAGGGGTCCAAGTAGGTGTCCCCTAGCTTCACCAACTGGGTGCGACCCTCCAGGAAGGAGTGGAGCCACTGCAAAGCAATGCCCCCAAGACCTATTCCGGAGAGCCGCTCCAGAAGGATACCATGGTCAATGGTTTCAAAAGCCACTGAAATATCCAAGAGAACGAACAGGGACACACTCCCCTTGTTTAGTTCTCTATGGAGGTCATCCACCAAGGCGACCAAAGCCGTCTCCGTATTGTGCTGAGGCCTAAAAACTGACTGTGATGAATCAAGATAATCATTTTCATCCAAGAATCCCTGGAGTTGAGGAGCTGAGAAGGACTCCTATTGTCACAATCTGCAATGGAACTAACAAACTAGATTGTAGGACCTTCTGTGCTGCACTATAACGTTCCAGGTTAGGTACCCTGGACTCCAAGGCACAAGTCAAATGTCTCTTTAGTATTAAAAAGTTGATTTATTTATTTTCAGTTGAACTGGAGAAGGTTTTAAGAGGAGCTTTAAGACGTGGTTGTTCCAGTGTGCCTTCCCAGAATAATGATTCCATAGCACTTTGTCTTCTAAAGCACTTTATACATTTAGGTCTGCTCGTATCCCCACAAACTGCCCTATCACTTTTTCGTCCATGTCCAGCATTATTTTTAATCTTTTAATTTAATTACATTTGGCCTACCCATAGTTTTTAAAGTGTGTTGTCCTATTGATATTGCATGTGTTATTGGTTTACTGTTTTGTTATTTTAAATTGCTTGTATTGTTATTGCTTGTTGTATTTTGGGCTCGGCCTCATGTAAGCCACACAGAGTCCCTTGGGGAGATGGTAGCGGGGTATAAATAAATTATTATTGTTATTATTATTATTATTATTAGGAGCCCCCAGTGGCGCAGTGGGTTAAAGCCCTGTGCCGGCAGGACTGAAGACCGACAGGTCGCAGGTTCGAATCCGGGGAGAGGCAGATGAGCTCCCTCTAGCAGCTCCAGCTCCTCATGCGGGGACACGAGAGAAGCTTCCCACAAGGATGATAAAACATCCAATCATCCAGGCGTCCCCTGGGCAACATCCTTACAGACTGCCAATTCTCTCACAGCAGAGGCGACTTGCCGCTCCTGACATGACCACATGACCAAAAAAAATTTATTATTATTAAGGTTATCACTGGAGCAATCCTGAGAATTTTACTTTAGTGAAGCAAAGTTCTATTTTTCAGAGCAGACCTTGCAGAACTACAAACTGCAGAGCCCCATAACATACAGACATGACAGTTCAATTAGTGTTAAAACTACTTTACTTTTACAGCATTGTTGTCACTCTAAACTGGTATTCCAGGTATTGTTGGCCAAAGCAGCTGAGGCTTCTGGGAGTTGAGTACAAAACATGAGTGCTAGATGAACCATTTAGTTTTCTATTAATGGAATACCTGAAACCTTCTAAAAGGAATATCCCACGTTGCAATGTTGAAAGAAAAGCAATGGCAACTCTTTTGTTGAGAAAGTGGGTGGCTCTTAAAAGAGCCTTTGGGTCTGTTTAGGGACTCCATTGAGATCCTACTTGGAGCTGGTGTACTTGGTGACGGCCTTGGTGCCCTCCGAGACGGCGTGCTTGGCCAGCTCCCCGGGAAGCAGGAGGCGGACGGCGGTCTGGATCTCGCGAGAAGTGATGGTGGAGCGCTTGTTGTAGTGCGCCAGGCGGGAGGCCTCACCGGCGATGCGCTCAAAGATGTCATTCACGAAGGAGTTCATGATGCTCATGGCCTTGGAGGAGATCCCAGTGTCCGGATGGACCTGCTTCAGCACCTTGTAGACATAGATGGAGTAGCTCTCCTTGCGGCTCTTTCTGCGCTTCTTGTCGCCCTTCTTCTGGGTCTTGGTCACTGCTTTCTTCGACCCCTTCTTGGCTGCAGGCGCTGACTTTGCTGGCTCTGGCATTGTCAAACTCTCTCTGCGACACACTCACAACAGCAAAGAATTTCAAAGAACTAACCAGCCGACTCTGAGCGCTCTGTATTTATACGACGTTTATGCTAATTAGTAGCTCAGAATTCGCTGTTTCCCATTGGCTGGGGAGAGCGCGTCTCCTATTGGGCGGTTAGAACCACTATGCAAATGAGGGAATTCTTCCATTGTGATTCTATTGGGGGGGGATATAAAATGCCGCGTTCCTATTGGGCAGAAGAGTAGCCGTGTTTTCTATTGGTTAGGTGAACTCAAAAGGAAACAGGCAGCCAATCGGAATTCGCAATTTTGAGCCGCAGGAGTGAATAAAAGGCAAGGAAGAGCATTTTCTCCCCATCCGTCTCATTTCAAGAGTAGTTTCTCTTCTTCGAAAGGCCCTTCTCTGAAAGCTTAAATCATGTCTGGACGCGGCAAGCAAGGAGGCAAAGCCAGAGCCAAGGCGAAGACTCGCTCTTCCCGAGCCGGGCTGCAGTTCCCCGTGGGCCGTGTGCACCGTCTCCTCCGGAAGGGCAACTACGCCGAGCGGGTGGGAGCCGGGGCGCCGGTCTACCTGGCGGCCGTGCTGGAGTACCTGACGGCTGAGATCCTGGAATTGGCGGGAAACGCGGCCCGGGACAACAAGAAGACCCGCATCATCCCTCGCCACTTGCAGCTGGCCATCCGCAACGACGAGGAGCTTAACAAGCTGCTGGGCAGAGTCACCATCGCCCAGGGAGGCGTCCTGCCCAACATCCAGGCCGTGCTCCTCCCCAAGAAGACCGAGAGCCACAAGGCCAAAGGGAAGTAAACCAAGCCCTCGTGGTCTCTCTCCAGGAAAAAAAACAGAACCCAAAGGCTCTTTTAAGAGCCACCCACACATTCAGAGAAAGAACTTGATCACTTGGAAACAATTTGCAATCTCCTCCAGGAAATATTGTATCATCCAAGCCCTGATACTAATGGGGGAAATAAAGTGCCAAACTTTGTAAGTTCGTTACAATTTGTTTCACTTGTGTAACAATGTAAATGTAAAAGTATCAATTAAACCTCAACAGTAGCCAACTCTATATTTTCCTGGGAAGTAGAATGCCAAACTTTGTAAGTTCGTTGCAATTGTTTTCACTTATGTAACAATGTAAATGTAAAAGTGCATCAAGTAAGCCTCAGTAACAGTAGCCAGCTTTATATTTTTCTGGGAAATAGAGTGCCAAACTTTGTAAGTTCATTGCAATTTTTTCACTTATGTAACAATGTAAAAGTGTATCAATTAAGCCTCAATAACAGTAGCCAACTTTATATTTTCCTGGGAAATAGAATGCCAAACTTTGTAAGTTGGTTGCAATTTTTTTCACCTATGTAACAATATAAATGTAAAAGTGTATCAACTAAGCCTCAATAACAGTAGCCAACTTTATATTTTCCTGGGAAATAGAATACCAAACTTTGTAAGTTCATTGCAATTTTTATTACTTGTGTAATAATATGTAAGTATATCAACTGAGCCCGAATTGTTGTTCATTCGTTCAGTCGTCTCTGACTCTTCGTGACCTCATGGACCAGCCCACACCAGAGCTCCCTGTCGGCCGTCACCACCCCCAGCTCCTTCAAGGTCAGTCCAGTCACTTCAAGGATGCCATCCATCCATCTTGCCCTTGGTCGGCCCCTCTTCCTTTTGCCTTCCACTTTCCCCAGCATCATTGTCTTCTCTAGGCTTTGCTGTCTCCTCATGATGTGGCCAAAGTACTTCAACTTTGTCTCTAGTATCCTTCCCTCCAATGAGCAGCTGGGCTTTATTTCCTGGAGGATGGACTGGTTGGATCTTCTCGCAGTCCAAGGCACTCTCAGAACTTTCCTCCAACACCACAGCACAAAAGCATCGATCTTCCTTCGCTCAGCCTTCCCTAAGGTCCAGCTCTCACATCCGTAGGTGACTACAGGGAATACCATGGCTTTGACTAGGCGGATCTTTGTTGCCAGAGTGATGTCTCTACTCTACTTTTTCAGTAACAGTAGCCAACTTTATATTTTCCTGGGAAATAGAGTGCCAAACTTTGTAAGTTCGTTGCCAAATTTTTTCACTTATGTAACAATGTAAAAGTGCATCAACTAAGCCTCAATAACAGTAGCCAACTCTATATTTTCCTGGGAAATGGAATGCCAAACTTTGTAAGTTCATTGCAATTTTTATTACTTGTGTAATAATATATAAGTGTATCAACTGAGCCCCAATAACAGTAGCCAATGTTACATTTTCCTTGCTTTTGTGTAACATAATAAAAGTGGATCATCCAAGCACTGATCCACACAAAACATTATATACAATTGTTGATAGTATGTTACAGTAAGATAAAACTGAAGGTACTTATGTCTAGTATGGGCATGAGCCAACTTGGGCTCTGTAGGTGTTTTGGACTTCAAGTCCCAGCATTCCTAACAGCCTCTGGCCCCTTCATTTTCCTCCTCAGCCGCTTAAGCGGCTGAGGGGGAAAAGGAAAGGGCCTGAGGCTGTTAGGAATGCTGGGGGTTAAAGTCCAAAACACCTACAGAGCCCAAGTTGGCCTATGTCTGGTCTAGCAAATCTGTAGCATGCACACACACACATATGATCTTGCTCCATATCACCATTTATACAGCCTCAGATCCCTTCCTTTTCCCCCTCAGCTGCTTAAGGAAAGGGCCTGAGGCTGTTAGGAATGCTGGGGGTTGAAGTCCAGAACACCTATAGGGTCCAAGTTGGCCCATGTCTGGTTTAACAAATGTGTAGCATGCACAAACACACATACATATGATCTTGCTCCACATCACCATTTATTATTATTTTATTTAGGAAGGATGCCACTTTATCTGCCCTGTCTCAATACTATCTTGGGAGTTTCACTTTGGTGAGGCAACAACACTCTGCAAGAAAAGGCTCAATGTCTTCTAAGACTACCAATCCAATGATATAATAGTAATAATAATAATAATAATAATAATCTTTATATGCTGCTCTGTCTCCCCAAGGGGGACTCAGGGCGGTTTCCAGAAAATGTCATCAAAACATACAGAGTAAACAGTATGACGTTAAATTAACAAAATAACATAAGCATACAATTATCACAATAACACATATATATTAAAAATAATCGTGCCTGACAGCATTTGACAGCATTGAGCCATAGTTGATAAAGGTTTGTGATTGGGTTGCTGTGAGTTTTCCAGGCTGTATGAGCATGTTCCAGAAGCATTCCCTCCTGACATTTCACCCAAATCTATGGTAGGTTGGGAGGTCTGTTGGAAACTAGGACAAGGGAGGTTTATATATCTGTGGGATGTCTAGGGTTGAAGAAATAACTGTCTACTTGAGGCAAGTGTGAATGCTGTAATTGATTATCACTGAATAGCCTTGCAGTTTCAAGGTTTGGCTGCTTCCTGTGTAGGGGAATCCTTTGTTGGAAGATGATTAGCTGGCCCTGATTGTTTCTTCTCTGTTTTCGAGTGTTGTTCTTTATTTAGTGTTGAGTGTCATATTTGAGTGCTGTTCTTTATTTGTGGGAGAAACACCAGGTCATCACAACCTGTAAGGATGCCTGCCATCGATGCAGGTGAAATGTCAGGAGAGAATGCTTCTGGAACATGGCCATACAGCTCGAACACTCCAAAATCATGAGTATAAATAAAGAAGAACACTCAGATAACAGGGGCATTCCAGACACGAAACAAGCAGGGCCAGCTAACACCTCCCAACAAAGGATTCCCCTCCCAAGCAGGAAGCAGCCAGGCTTTGAAGCTGCAAGGCCAGTCAATGCTAATCAAGGTGACCAATTGCATCACCCACACTTGCCTCAAACAGACAAGAGTTCTTTCTCCCACCCGGGACATTCCACAGATATATAAATCCACACTTGCCTAGTTTCCAACAGACCTCACAACCTCTGAGGATGCCTGCCATAGATGTGGGCAAAATGGTAGGTGAGAATGCTTCTGGAACATGACCATACAGCCTGGAACACTCACAGCAACCCAATTTAGTTTTGGTTTTGGAATGTTTGACCTAATGTGCTCACTAAGGACTAGAAACCTGAATTATTTCAGTTGTGTTTGCGTGAGCGTTGGTGGTATAGTGGTGAGCATAGCTGCCTTCCAAGCAGTTGACCCGGGTTCGATTCCCGGCCAACGCATAATTATTTTTTGCAGGGAACACATTGTTTTCCTAAAAGGCACCCCCTGATTCAGGTTGCTAAGCAGGGTCTGCCCTGGTTAGTATTTGAATGGGTGACGGCTTTGAATGGGGGAACTGCAAAATAACACTAGGGGTTGTAATGATGCATTTCCAAAGAAGGTAATGGCAAACCATCTCTGAATCTTCCTTGCCTATGAAATTGCAAACTAGTAAAGAAGTCCTTTAACAGGGTGGTCTCCAAAATATGGGGGTCTCCCTAAATCAACTTGAGCACTATTTCTCTCTTCATCACTTGTTTTCCTGGCTTTGCCCTTAAAAAGTGGGAAACTTCTTATCTCTAAGTGTGGAGGAGTTTCCACCTCTGGATGTTTTTAACCAGCTCCTCACAACCTCACAAATACAGAAATCCAGAAAAAAAATACCAAAACTAACTTCAAACATGCCAAAAGTTCTTCTTTCTACCTACTACCACTGAAATAACAAAAACAGAGGAATTCCAGACAAGAAACAATCAGGGCCAGCTAACCACCTCCCAACAAAGGATTCCCTCAGGCAGGAAGTAGCCAGACCTTGACACTGCAAGGCCATTAAATGCTAATCCGGGTGGGCAATTGCAATATTCACACCTGCCTCAAACAGACAACTTCTTTCTCCCACCCTGGACATTCCACAGATATGTAAAGCTCACTTGACTAGTTTCCAGCAGACCTCACAACTTTTGAGGATGCAGGCAAAATGTCAGAAGAGAATGCTTCTGGAACATGGTCATACAGCCCGGGAAACTCACAGCAACCCAATGTAGGATTCCAGCCATAACAGCCTTCGACATCACAAAGGTCTGTCAAACTGCATTAATTCTGCAGTGTAGATGCACCTAATAATTAATGTGCTGTTTTTTAATTCACCCTCAAGGCATTGTTTCCAAAGGGACAATTTTTGGGAGGAGCAAAAACTTGGTAGCTTCTTGTCTTTCCTTCTTTGAGCCGGTAGTTGGGAGCAGCCAATCAGCATTTAGAGTCCCGAGTTGGGAGCAGCCAATCAGCATTTAGGGCGGGCTTTTCAAAAATGTTTCTTATTTTCTCCCCCCAGCGGTTAGTTTGCGATGCAATGATTCAGTTCCTCCATTCTTAAAGCAACTCTGGATAATTTGCAAGTCTGTCCTTGCCCATAAGATGCAGATAAACCTTGTTAAACCCTGCAAGACAAGCATGTCCAGCATCCCACCCCCCTTTGTGGTGGAAAAATACAAATACAAGTTGTGTTTGTAGAATGAATGCAGTTTGGCCCCAGTTGAATTGCTATTGCTCAGTGATATGGAATCGGAAGAGCTGTAGTTTTAGAAGGCCTTTAGGCTTGTCTGCCAAAGAATGTTTGTGCCTCAGCAAACTATAAACCCCAGGATTTCATTGCATTGAACTAGGGCAGTTCAAATGGGGCCAAACTGAATTCATTCTAAGTGTAGACTAGGCATGGGCCAACTTGGGCCCTCCAGGTATTTTGGACTTCAACTCCCACAATTCCTAACAGCCGGTAGGCTGTTAGGAATTGTGGGAGTTGAAGTCCAAAATACCTGGAGGGCCCCATGTTGGCCCATGCCTGGTCTACACTTAGAATGAATTCAGTTTGGCTGTTAGGAATTGTGGGAGTTGAAGTCCAAAATACCTGGAGGGCCCATGTTGGCCTATA